GCAAAACTATGAGTTATGGGTCTTACCTTATAAATGACCTGCACAGTCCACTTTTTTTCTGACCAGTTCCGTGTTTAAGTCCAGATAATAGTTTGAGCATAGATATGTAATCCTCCATTTGGAAATGAGTCCAATGAGTTTTAAAAAGTAAAACAAAACGCGTGTGTCCTCCATAAACTCCTCTGTTTTGCTAGCTGCAGCCGGGTGCATCCAATTTCTAAAATCAACCGTCTTACACTTCACCTCTCTTTCTTATCATTCCTATAATCATTGAAAAATTACCCGAAGTGGATTTTAAATAATCTTAAAATGTGTTATATGTATGTTAGCCAAACCTGTCGCTGCCCTTAAGCAGATAAACCAGGAAGAGAAAGGAGCTTTTCGATGGAATTGTATGCAGCCGACTTCTGCGCGCCTCTGAGGCCTCACGGTAATACAAGCTGTGGTTGAGCGCGACCCATATTTGTTTCAAAAACACAATTTATGAGCCATCCTCTCAGCTGTAGACATGCAGATTGTAAATGAAATATGTTTTACATCAGCCAATAATTGCTGAGAGGTTTTCTCATCCTCCCTTCTCTCATGACAACACGCGCACGAGTCCTATCACGAAGTAAAAAGAGAAGTTCATTGTGCGTCTTGAGTAACGCGCAGTAAGGGGATGTTGGAAATGATAACGGCGTTATAGTTACAGCCAAAGTAATTAGTTAGATTATTCGTTACTGAAAAAAGTAACGCTGTTATTCCCATCATTGCCCACTGTGTCATTTTATGTGACCCACTGCTGCTAAGTAGTCAATGTTGTAAAGCTCAGACCCTTTGGAATACAGTAACACAGTAACAGTAATACATTAACATTATTGGTATATACTGACATTTGTTTTTGATTGGGTCACAAATTTTCTATATGGCACTAATGTAGCAGTTTTACAATCCATGTTGTCGGCCCCTGGACATACCTGATGAACTAAAATGGCCACCTCTGACTAATAATGTACACATTTCATGTTTTTGTTTTCTCTGTGCGGTCATTAAACGGTTATAAATATGCACATTATATTTTCGTTTAAAGGGTTAATAAATGTTCAGAAGTGTGCCATTTAGCATATATGTCATATTTTATCTAAAATTAAGGCTGCTGCTCTTAGAATATGGCAAAATACATGTTTTCTCTTTTTGCAGGGCTTAAATAATTGCAGCCTGAGTTCATCATTTAAGAGCTTTGAATACAACCTCCTTTAGGGCAAAGCAGCAAGTCAACCCCCGAGTGCCTCATTATTATGAAAAGAGTTCGTTTGTGTTTTTGAGTGGAAGAGATTATGATTATCCAAATGTCCAAACAAACAAGCTACATGAAACTCCAGCAATGGAAACAGAGTGGGCCCATTGCAAGTATGAATTTGGCTGTGGAGAAATATATCACAAGATAAGTGCATAAAGATTAGATAATTTAACAACAGCAGTCTGATCAAAATAGTTGCAAAATGACTTTATTTTAACCGGACAATTAATGAATAGCAAATTCATATTGGTCATTTTTTATCCGGCTTTCCGGTCAGTATAAACAATATCATCTTCTACGGACACTATTTTGGACACATTTTTAACAGCCATTTACGGAACACTAGACCCAATCTATACGAGCTCTTTTAGTAGTAAGTAAGTAAGTAATCTATATTTATATTCTGCCTTTCACAGACCAGAGTCACAAAGCGGTTAACAATTGATGTGGGCATTTGTCCTCTCACTCCACACAGAGATGGGAGCGGGGTCACCAGTACAGGAGGGGCATGCCAGACCTATTGTACATGTTTTTAGTGGTAAGGGAAACCGGAGTACCTGGAGGAAACCTACGCAGACACAGAGAGAACATGCAAACTCCACTCAGAAAGGCCCTGTTACGACCATGATTCGAACCCAGGACCTTCTGGCTGAGAAGCGAGGGTACTATCACTCAGTATAGCACATCTTTCATATATTCCTTCCTTCATTCATTTTCATCCTTTCATCATTTTATTATCCATTTCTGGGTCAGGGGTGTGGCAATCAGAGCTGCCACCCAGGTTCAGATGGCACCCTATATCATGCACTGTGGCAGTGCCCCAAAATTGTAGAGCACTGGAATGCAGTCCACCAGTTTATTCAGGGGATGACAGGTGACTTCTTTGAGTTTTCCCCCCCGACTTTATGTGTTGGCAAAGTGGGGTTAAGTGTCTTGCCCAAGGACACAACGACAGCAGTCATCAGTGGGAGTCGGTTGAGAAGGTGTAGAGGTGGGAATTGAACCCACAACCTTCTGGCCTGAAGGCCAATGCTCTACCAACTGAGCTACTGTCGCCCCATATATATATATATATATATATATATATATATATATATATATATATATATATATATATATATATATATATATATATATATTATATATATATATATATATATATATATATATATATAAAAAAATATATATATATATATATATATATATATATATATATATATATATATATATATATATATATAAACAAATATATATATATATAAAAAACAAAGATATATATATATATATATATATATATATGATAGGTAGACAGGTAGTTCTAAGAGAATGGAAAAATCCTAGAGCCCCACCAGCTGGAGAATGGTTTACAGAAGTAGGAAGAGTATATATATATAAATAGCGAAAAACAAAGATATATATATATATATATATATATATATATATATATATATATATATCTTTGTTTTTCGCTATTTATGTATTTATTTTATCTGTTTTTTTATGTGTATCTACATGCATGTATACACATGTGTGAAACATGTATATTTTTACTTTTTTGTATTTGTATTTTATTTGTATTTTTTATTATTATTTATTTACCTTTTTTCTGTAATGTTTAATGTCTTATCCCCCCTCCCCTCCTGTCCCCCCTCCTTTGTATGATAAAACACAATAAATATCTCAGTCATAAAAAAAGAGCTGCCAGCCAATTCACAAAGCACCAGTCCCAGACTGATCCTCCTGCAGGTGGTGGGTCCACAAGAAGATGGCTGCTCCTTCAACACAAATACAGCTTTGATCTTTCAGCAGGGACTTCAGGCAAAGAGGGGTAAAGTGTCTTGCCCAGGGACTCAACGACAGCATAGATCAGTGGGAGCAGATGAGCAGATGCGTGGTGTAATCGGACCCACGACCATTAGGTGCATGACCAATGCTCTACTAACTGAGCTACTGGTGCCCCTTCTTACATTTATTATATTAGATAATCATATACTAATAAAGCTGGGGTACATTACTTTGTTTGTAAATAATGGAACTAATACATTTCCTTTGTCCCAAAGGAAAGGTACAAGATGGTACTTTGTCTAAAGTACAATTGTGTTTGAATGATGGAGGTGTAGGGAACACTGGATGCACTGGATTTTTAATATTTTTCTTCATATCGAACAGAGCGATAAGGTCCAAACGGTGCGTTTGAACGGGATAAGGCTAATGTGTACATTTTACATCGAGGCAGTGTTTTTTGAACATACAGTATAATAGGTATTTTCTGAGAGATTTTTGTCAATAAAAATAACATAAATATATACTAGGGCTGTCAAATTATTATTTTTTTTCATCGAGTTAATTACAGCTTAAACATTAATTAATTGTAATTAATCACATTTTAAACTATCAGCAAAATTATGCCATATTTTTTGTAAATGGTTGTTTGAATGGAAAGATAAATGACAACATAGTATACAGTTGTACTGTATTTCTTTATTATAACAATAAATCCACATAAAACAGCATTTACATTATTCACATTCTGTCTTTCTGTAGTAGACAGTATTTTTTCTAAGTTGGGTTAAAAACTATAATTTAATTGAAAAAAAATTAGCTCATTGATTCAGCTTGTGTATGAATTCAGGCCAAAAAAAGTGCTGAGTAGAAACTTTGCGTGACTCTAGTTGCAAACAGGCCACGCCTCCTCTAGTGTCTGCAGCACATGTAAACAAGAGCAGCATGGGAGCAGAAAGTGGCTAAACCGCATCTGGCTGTAACTGCAGACACAGCAAAACAGCCCAAAAGACGCTAAAGTGAGGAGGAGAAGAGGGAACTATGATCAAAGAAGAAATCAAGCTCAGGTGAACATACTGTAGCTAGCTTACATCGTATCCTCTGGAGAGACCTGCGGGAGTGGGACCGCCTTGGACTACATTTGGATGCGAAACGAGCGGTAATCTTTCAGTTATCGTACTGTATATTTTGTTAGCAGTGCGTTGCTTTTGTACATTTCATCAGTGAATGTTGTACAGCTTATAAGAAGTTGTGCTAATGCGAATGTTTGCCTGTCAGATCACTACTAAAACTACATGGCTCTGTGGGAGGAGAGCGTGGGAGAGAGTAGCAGGGTTTCTTAAAATGAGACGCCTTCTGAGTGTTATTATGGTATGCATATAGGCGGGTCATTCAGCACACGGGTTAATTTTTTAAATGCGATTAATGAAAAAAATGAATTTCCATGCGTTAACGTGATCGTTTTGACAGCCCCATTATTTACCTTGCATTTTTGTTGTTATTTATTTTAATCATTCCATATTTTGAAAACATTTACTATGTGCATTAAATATTCATTGTTATTTCAAGTTTTAATGTACCTAATCTAAAGTGCAAGAAACATTTATTTATTTGTGAACAATAGGCATATTTTGGCCTAAATAATGTGCTACACTGTATTTATAATGTTTTGGTTTCAGAAAACATGCTTTTTGTCCAAAACTCACATTACGGTCATGTGCACAATGAATATCTCCCTTTAAGCCGTCTATTACATTTTCATATGAATAAAGGAGTCTAAAAGTGTTCTAAAAGCTCCTATCTTCCAGTACGTGCACAGAGTAGGGATGGAAACGCAGGTACGTGACATGCATTCATTCCCAGCAGTGGCACAGATGACGATGTTCACAGACACAGGTCCAAAGTCCAGAAGGGCGTGGGAGTGGTCTTACTGTACCTTGCGCGCAGAGTCCGTGGGTGCAGTTCTCCGCAGCCTGGCTGTTGCCCTCACACATGCGGCCTCTGTGTCGTGGCGCGGGAGAGTTACATTCTCTGCTGCGCTGCCTCTCGCACTGACTGGTGCACGTGCTCCACTCGCTCCACTCGTCCCAGCCGCCGTCAACTGCAACAGACACAAAGGCATCAGGCACCGAGCGCACAACACACAAAGAGGCATCAACACACACATAGGCACCGACATTGAATGGAAAATACCGGTACATCAAATCGCTATAGAAAATATTTAGGTCTGGCAGCTTTATATATATTATATTTTTTTGTATGGACCACATTTATCTTGAATTTGAAATAAATATGAATAATAAAATTTATCATAAAAATAGAAGATACATCAAACATGAAGCTGTATGAAATAAAAACTATTAAAATACCTACAAAATAATGCAATAAACCAATTATAAACACAGTAACAATAAATCAACACACTTTATGAACACAACTCACACGGTGTTTAAAACCAAAGAATGAAACTGGGTTCTAAGACAAAACTTAGAACATGTCAACGAGTCCAAAAACCTTGATATCTAAAAAAATCAAAATTTGCCTCAATCCACTCAGACCTGAAGCGTAAATCAACTGGTCTGGATGTTGTCTCTATGGGCATCAGTTTCACATTAGAATTACAGCATAATAATCAGTAATACATCCAGGCCAAGTTACACATATACTGTATACTGTATATCTATTAAAATGAACAACATAAATATGAAAAACAATGGTGTAAGCAAGTATAGTGTGCACGTTTTCTTTTTTCCCTTTCTATTTTTTTTAAATAAACAGATGACGAATTGTTTCAGCATGTATTACCGTATACTTTTACCATCAGATGGACGCATTGAATGTATTTAGTTTAAAGCATTACCTGTTGCAAATACATGTGGTCATAAAGGATGAATTTTGAGTATTGAGGAAAAGGCTCTGACCATGATCGAATCGCAGGCGCTTTTCTGAGCGTTTCTTCAGGACGTTCGTGCAGCGGCCAATCAGAGAGCCGCAAAGTGGTCACGGGGACATTAGCGGTCTGAGCGAGCAGACTGAACATCGTAAACAGCCAAAACAGGAGCTACACCAGGACTAAAACCAGGGTTGACAATGGGGGACATAGTGCTTGTGAATATATGCGTTTTCATGCTCCTGTGACTGTATACAACTGCTTCGAGTGTGTTCGCCGATGCGGAAGTACCGTTTAATAATAAAATAAACATATGGCGCACCTCCGTGAACACATACTGCTGTTATATAAAGTCTCTGGAAGGTCTCTGGACACAGAGACGCTGCATTATTGGAGAAGAACTTTATACACAAGCCGCTAGCTTAACTCCGTTAGCATCAAAATCCACCCGCTTCTTACGCCAATACCGGCGCGCGCCACCACAGGCCAGGACTTCTGGTCTGAAGACCCCTGCGTCTGAAAATTAGAGAATGTGCGCGAGGCGTCAGCGTTCAAGCGTCGGCGGTGTGAAAGCACCATTAGTCTTGAAGTAACTAAAATATTGTAAATAACAAAAAGAGTGATGCTGAACTGAAAAAAGCTTGATTTCTACATAATCCAAAATTAGATCCACTCAGATCTAACTGGTTTTGGAGGTTGTCTCCATGGAGATTGATTCTTCATGGAGATCAATTCGACAACCATTTCAAAGAGACAAACAGTGAATACGGTGTCCAAAGTAGAGTAGAAATAATGTTGCAAGTGACAAGGGTTCAAATGTCTCTGCCACAGTCCTTTGAGCAATGTGCGTTATCACAGATCTAACACCATACTTAAATTGTATAAACTATACATTTCTCTGAGATGCTGGATTCTCACAAGGTACAAACAATCCGATTGCGCTCTTGTAGGCTGCTACGTTAAGAGCTAGAGTTCTTTCTTGCAAACATAAAGAGTCTTGTGAAAGTAAGTTGTTATGAACAAAGCTGTTGTCTTGTTATTATAAAACATCTTTTGCATAGTTGTAAGAAAGAGTCTATCGAAACCCTACTTAGTCACAGAACGGGCCGAAAACGGATTGAACCTGCGACCTTCTTGCTGTGAGGCCTAGTTCCAAACACAATCTGCCATCTTCTGTGGTTTTACTTCCCAAAATACCTCACATCCACTTTGTCCTAAGTTTGACTCTGCTGCCGTGTTTAGTGAACAGTTGGTGATACTTCCTTTGTGGGTGCACACCGCTGGCCTCGCGATTCTCCCATAAATCTCTCAGACACTCAGAGCCAAAGGGTGAAAAGCAGGTAGGGCTTGAGAGACATTTCCTCCCTATTAACCTGCAGGCCTGTTGTTACAACGGGATTTGAAACTATAGAATGCTAATCGTTCTGGTTTGGCTGTTTCTTGTCCTCAGATCAACAAAGAGGTGGTTTCAGCGAAAGCAGAGGGACCATATGGCGCTGGAACATACTGGCAGAGCTTCCCCTCAGTATAATGCAGTCTTGTGGGCATTGTGGAGGTAATCTTCTCTTGCAGGGACTGTAGAATTACTTCTCATATGTTTGTTTTCTTGCTTTCGGCTAGAGATGCGATGAGTTTGGAACGATGACAGGAATAGATTTAGAAAGTTAGTATTTGAGTAAACTAGATGGGTTTAATATTGAATTATCTATGAACCCTGAATCAAGCAAGATCAGTAAGAAGCTGTATTCCTACATAGAAGGTTCATCTTGCCTTCTTAGTAGATTCAGTTATTTGGTTCCGCTAAACCAGACTGGGTAAAATAGCGGTGTAATTACCTTAACATGTTTTGACGCCCTACTTCTGTCTTCCTAGAAACATGTCTAGGTACTAACATCGCTATCTTACATTTGTCTGGTATAAAAGAACCAAACAACATAAATCAAAATCTCCTTTTGGAACCATTTTTGTAAAGCAACTTCGAGACAGGACGAATAAATAGAGAGATTGGATTGAGGAACAAATACTACACATTTATGAATGTTACTCATTCTTTAAAGCCCCTACAGCCTAATTGGCACTTGATTTGAGACCAAATTTGAGTGTCAGTGAGAAAATAAACTTGCAGTCTTGTGATTTAGGGCTATATAACAATAGGGAAGGGAATTGAATTTAATATGGTCTTGAGATTGTTTTAAGTGACAGATCTGTCAATGTGTTTTGTAAACAAAGCATGTAGATCTGGTGTAAAAATCTAGCAAACACAACGAAATGTCTTCAATGGTGTGCACAAGTAAAAGAGAGCGGAGGCGAGGCTGTCAGAATGCACTGTATTTCATCCAAGAGGATCTTTGGGCCAAGACTGTCCAAGTGGGCAATGTAATGAGCACTGTTGTCAAATCTGTCAACAACCTCTCATTGAACTAAGTCTTTGGCAAGAAAATCTGGCATTTATTGTTGATTTACACATCATTTAAATACACTGAACTTGAGCTACCAAGGAGAAAAGCTGCTCATGCCACACTTGTATGCACACCTACCAGTGTCAATCTCAGCTTTATTTGTATAGCACACTTACAACACCAGTTGCACAAAGTCCTTAACATGCACGGAAAAAAAAGGAATACACACACATACATCTCAGTTGGTGTTAAACATGTCCTATGAAGGAGCTGCTGTAATGTACCAAGATACTATTCTGCAGTTAGGGAGCAAGAGATGAGACCTGGGCATGTTCAACAAAAAGGTGGTTTTCAGACCTCAGGAACCACCAAACTTTCCCCTGACATCTAAGCCATTCTGAAATCAGCATCACTGCTCCCACTGAGAGCAAGGTTTTTCATTATATGTGAGTAAGAAAAACAGGTAATAACCATGTGTCAAATGTTTGTGTCTCACCCTTTGTTCATTTTTATGCATATCTGGCCCTAAATTCAAAAAAAGTTTGAATTGAAGTGACAGAAGGGGCGGATGTGTTTGTGGTGATTTGTGTCAATAGTTTTTCTGCTGTAATGGGGGAAAATGCAAAAGCTTAAATTAACAAACTGGCCTCAAAACAATTGTCTTATTATCCACAACTGAGTCTCGCTTCACTAAACCCTTCTAAACAATCAACTGAAAACAAGAACGCTTGCAATATTTAACCCGAGTGCGCCGCGGTGGATCTCCTCGCTCTGGCAGCTGCTCCTCCACTCCTCTAGTTTTCTGTTGGTGTTTTATGGCAGTCTGCTTGAGATGCGCACTACACGCTGGGCATGCAGGGTTGTGGAGATTCAGAGTTTTCACCATGCTGAGAGAGTGTGTGCTGTTTTCCTGACGCCTGTGAGTGTGTGCTTGTGTGTGTGTGAGAAGGTGTGTGTCTGAGTGTGTGCCTCCACTATACTTTAGCCATGCTCATGACGTATTAGTGACCTTTTCATTTTGAGTTTGGGCAGACTCTTCTAACACACGTTTCCTTCGGCGCCCAAACTACACCTAGAGCTCAGAGCATGGCTGGTGTACTGAACATTTAACAGTATGCCATGTGTAAAATTACTATAACTCAAAACAGTGGGAATACATTGTGAAATAAATTTCCTCGATCCATCCATCCATTAATTTTCTTCCACTTAATCCATTTCTGGGTCAGGGGGTGGCAGTCAGAGCTGCACCCAGTACACTTTGCACCATCCCCTATTCGTGACTGGCACAATACAATAATGCTTTGTGGGCCAGGGGGGTTTATATGCCAAAACTGTCATATATGAGCATGATTATAGCGTCCATAAACCTGCAGAGACGTTAAAATCCGACAAAACCAAAGCTTAAACTAGTCTGTACCTCATTTGTTCTTTGAAAAGTAAAACGGGGAAAAATCCTTTCAAATTCCTTGTGTCTTGTTGATTTAAATTGTGCAGTTCTTCAAATGACTAGCAGATGGCGAATATTTCAATTGCTTAACTGAGGCTGGTAATTTTGAGGTTCACATTAGGACTGGCAATGGTAGTCAAAAGGTTATGTCATAGCGCTTGCATTCCAGCGACCCGGGTGCCAATCTGGGCAGAGTATGTCTCTATTTACATAATATCACATTCTATGACAATTGTTCAAAAACAGGTAAGGGACAAAAATCAATACTTTTTTTTGCAGATTATAGCTTATTTGTAAAAAGAATAATTTTAGACCACATCTGTACCTAAATTAAAATTATGTTTTAATGTTTCTCTTTATGATGT